TGCTTTCTCTCTACAGCATGGTCTGGATTGCATGAAGGGTGGGCTCATCAAGCGCGGGCACAACGATGTCCGCGACTTCGATGCCCGGCTGGCAGACGTTGCATGGGGAGGTGTGGCTGTCGAGCCGGTGATGGTACCTGTGCAGGATGGCAACAACCGCCCCACACTGCAGGCGGATTGGCTGGTCCGGGGAGTTTGGGAAGGAGACAGGGTGGCGTACTTTGACAACCGCATCGTGGATGCCGACGCACCCAGCTATGTCCGCTCGAACCTCTCTTGGAACGCCGTATCCAACAGTGCTGCCTCTTCCAAGAAGAGAAAGTACAAGGCGGCCGCAGAGGAGCTGCGAGCATCCTTCACCCCGCTGGTCTGCTCAACTGATGGTGCACTGCACACAGAGTACCGTGCGTATCAACGGCGACTTGCTATGCGCCTTGCCTCCAGGTGGGACAAGTCCTACAGCAACGTCATGTCCTGGGTGCGGATCCACCATCAGTTTGCTGTTTTCCGGGCTGTCGACCTTCGTCTCCGCGGTTCACGTCGTCGTCTCGGTGGGCTGGCAATTTGCGATGGTGTCGGCCTTGGCGTTGGCCGTTAACATTCATGCGTATGGCACTTGTTGTTGTTGTGTGTGTGTGTGTGTGTGTGTGTGTGCGCGTGTGTGTGTGTGTTTGTTTGCTTTCCTTTTCTTTTCAGCTGTCATTTGCCCTGATCATGCCGCATGCGTGTTTCACAGCATAGTACATTTCCGCTCATTTTCTTCTTCAACACACGCTAGCTGTATTACTTTGTTCTTGCCCGTACAAGAGGCTTTTCCTACTAAAAAAAAAAAAAAGTAAATCATACTTACCAACCCGTAGAGTAACGAGGGTCCGAACCTGGGTTTTCCCAATACGGTTCAGATGGTCGCAAGACCGGGACTCTGCCAACCGGGTTATGGTTGTACTGAACTTGTAGTCAGGAGCACTACGCGTCCTCGCCTTGTAACATGCTGTCAAAATCGAAAAACATACTAATTCTTCCAAGTTGCTTCACGTTATGATCTTGTATTTGAAAGCCCTATTTGAATATGCATTGTGGCCAGCCGTCTTTGATTTTACGGTACGGTACGGGACAGAATATGTTCTGGAGGACGTGCCTCTTGTCGCGCCAGCAAGCGCACCACTGCGTCTGGGTGACCTTGCGCCGTAGTCGTAGGATCATCTACGGGTAGTTCCATGCAAAATCACCTGGCTTGGGACATCAGATCCGTTCGAAGCACCTCAGCATAGTTCCTCGCGCTCCTCGACCTCCGGCAATAATCCTGCCGAGCACCCACGGAATCGGCGAGCGTCTGCCTGTGGCATGGGGCGCCAGGCCGACAGCTGCGCAGGTTATAGTTGACTGGAGGATGTTCCCGGACATCGCCGTGAACAGCAGCGCTCGTGAGTGTTCGTCGAACTCCAGGACCCGTGCAGCGTGCAGGCTATCGCGAGAAAAGGCAGCAAATGTGTGCGATTCCAAGTACTACAGTCCATTTCAAAACTATAGACGCGTACCTAGGCAAAAACCGTTATGCCAGCATCTATACCACATAAAATCTGTGATCACTTTGTGCATAAATTTTTCCAAATTGGGCGTCTGTTATCCAATCGTTTAGAAACTATATGAGAGTAATTGTGGAGCGATCCTGAGCAATATTCCGAAAACTATTCTCAAAAAGTTCCAGCCAAATTTGAAATATTTCAAAAACCCTACGCGTCTATAGTTTTGAAATGCACTGTAGTAACTTAGTTTCCTGCACGACCGTGATTTTACGGAAAACAAACTTACTTCGACACACCTGTTGTTTACCGGTACGCGGTATGTGCAGGGACGACGTCGCCATGGTCACGTATCGTTTCGATGTGCGTAGGCCGACTCTATGATCTAGTCTGTCCCCGGGGAAAATTGCAATTCCGCGGCCGCGTTTTTTTCCGCGTTTTTTGCGATTTTTTAAGGGGCCGTCCGGGGTTACCGATTGTTTTTACAAAACGAAAAGTTTTAGTGTTTTTCAGCCCCCACCCACCCACCCACCTTTTCTGCAGGTAAAACGAATTCCAATTAAATATTGATGTGAATTTTCGACATCCAGAAGTAACTGGGCATTCTCAATCAGCATTCAATAATTATTTTCAAAACGAAACTCCATCAAACCCACCCACCCACAAACGAAAACATTTCGTTTTGAAAATATTATTGGTAACCTTGGACGGCCCCTAAAAGACCGCGGTTTCCGCGATTTTCCCCCGTTTTTTGAACTTTTTTGTTACACTACACGTACACACAGTCAGTGCACTGTTCGGTCAGCAACGTCTCATCGTGGCGGCTTTTTACTCAAATATGACGAGTGCTTACACCAGAGAGTTGTAACCGTAACTGATTGATTTCACTACATACTCACTGAAAATTGCCGCACATCAATATTATTCACCGCATATTTACCGCATATTTACCGCAAATTCACCGCAAATTATGCCATATTATGCCGCGTTTTTCCCCGCGTTTTTTGCGATTTTTTTCCGCAATTTTCCCCGGGGACAGTCTAGTCTAGCTCTACAGTACTAGACTAGCTAGACAGTACACTCGACTACAGCTGCTGAGCTGGTTTAGCTCGGGCCCGCCTTTACCTTACTTAGTTCAGGCTTCAGCAGACGTTCAGGCGGTTCAGCAGGGGCCACAGGTACAGGACCGGTTGCGGGCGCCGAAAAGTTTGGTGAGTGCTATTACTACAATAGTACTACTACTAGTAGTAGATCGAACGGTAGTAGTAGTCTTGGCTACTCGCTGAAGTGAAGCTCTTCCGAACAGTAATCCGAGTAGCAGAGGAGCAAAGCCGACACGAGCGCCAGCTTCAACCAGGCTGAGCTGAACACAACCATTCTGACCTCTGCTACCAGTGACCATGGTGTCTGAGTGTAATCCGTTGGCTGAAGAAATAATCCCAAGCAAGCGGTTATATACGCTGCAACGAGAGCAAATGGTATGAGAAGTAGCAGAGAAGTGATAGAAGGCAAGTGCTAGCAGATAGGGTGAGGTGCGAAAGAAGTGAGCGCAACAAGTGCGAAAAAGCAAGGTGCAAACTATTGGCGTATACCTTTTGCCAGTATTGGGCATGCGACTTGGCACCTCCATACAGGTTTTTGTTAGCAAAAAAAAGAAAGAAAAGAAAGAAAGAACTGTTAGCCAGATTCGTGGCCGCATCACCTGACTGACGTGTTGAGGAACATGCCGTAACAGGTCAGCGAAAAAACTTAGACTTAAATGAAGCCATAACCTGCATTATGTCCACTCAGCAACTATTGATGCTAGCTCCGTTCCTTGCAACCACACGGCATACACACACACACACACACACACACACACACACACACACACACACACACACACACACACACACACACACACACACACACACACACACACACACACACACACACACACACACTACTACTACTACTACTACTATTGACAGCTGCCAGAAATGGCCACGCCGCTCCCCAAAGGGAGGTACTGTCAGAGAGGTTAGGGGGGAGGAAGGCAATGCTCCAAGTGGCGTTCCAGATCTTGCCGCCTCCGGAACCGTCGGTTGTGGCAAACTTGGCAGTGAAACTTGAATTGTTGGCGTTCAGCCACAGTAGGGCGCTTTGGACAGGTTCCACAACGGTGACGCTTGAGACCCGCAGCCGATTTAAATGAACGCTGACAGTTGGTGCAAGTTACACCAGGAACAACAAGAGGAGCAGGGGCAGGGGCCGGCGGCTGGTCGACATCGCCTAGCCGACACTTATGCACCGCAAAGCCTCCTCTGCTACGTAGCCATCGGTTGCATGTTGGACACTGTACTGATCCAGGCTGCTCCGATACCGGGAGCTGACGGATTGCTGAACACTTGTGCCGGACCATGTCGGAACTACGGCGGAACAGACGGTTGCAGGTTGGGCACTCGATGCTCTTCGGGGCGGGTTCCTTGTCCTCACCTGCTGCTGTCACCACTCCACGCCACTCTCCACGATCGCTTGCCAACTCAAACCAGTTACGCACTCCAGCCACGGATAGGTCCGTGTGAATGGTGTCCTTCCAGCGACGACGAGGTCCACAGAATGGCCGAGACTGAGGGAGACAGGCAAACAGCAACTGCTTCGGTACTCTGGTGTCATCAAGACGAGCCAGGTGCCCAAGCCACTCCAACCGTCTCTGCTGCACCATGCGTGACAATGGTGTGAGATCACCCCACTGTGCTCGCAGTTCCTGTGAAGAGATGCGCTGTTCCCACTGTCGGCCTCGCGATACGCCAAGGATGGAGCGAATGTTGGCATGGTGAAACCGGTCCATTCTATCTAAATCTGCCTTCAACGGCGTCCACACACACACACACACACACACACACACACACACACACACGTGTGCACGCAAATACACACATCTCTATACACACCCTTATTGGCTGCACCTTTCCTTTCTGTTCTTCTTTCTCCCTTTTTTCCACATGATGTACCAGCAATACCAGCACAAACAGATATGCCCAATCCACCGGTGATTCGCCACTTCAGCGCGACCGTCTTAGCGCGATACATTTCCGCGCCAGCACGTCAGCGCCTGATTTCACAACGCCATGACTATCAGCGCGGTAAAGTACAGCGCCAGCAACTCAGCGCGAAAAGGTGAGGTGGGGTAATTCACAGCGCGAAGTAGTTCAGCGCGATAAAGTACAGCGCGATCAAGTCCAGCTCGATCAAGTACAGCGCAGTACAGTTCAGTGAGATAAAGTACAGTGCGATACAGTACAGCGCAAAGTCAATACTTGTAAGTTAGTTACAGGCATAGTCACCACAGGCGATGTTCATACAAACATTGTATAATGAATTGGCGCTGAGAAACATGGCACTTACTTAGATCTATTGCGCTGAGAAATGTCGCGCTGACATATTTGGCGCTGAAATATATGCCGCTGATTTATGTGGCGCTGAGATATTCGGTGCTTATCTGCTGGCGCTGAAGTATACGTCGCTGAAGTATGTGGCTCTGTAAAATTCGGCACTTAAATGTATGTGCATGGCGCTGAAACGGTCGCGCTCACCTGGTTGGCGCTGAACTTGAGAGCGCCGAAATGGCATGCAATCAATCCACCATCACATGCAGCAGAGTTCACGAGAGACAGAAGTGGAAAGGTGGGTACTGCTGCCAATGCCAGATGTCTACACGATGTCATGAGCTCAGTTCTATTGTTCTATAACATGTGCGGCAGCAGTGCTATCTAGACTGATACTGGAGTGCTTGGAACGCTACATGAAGACACTCAGAACAGAGCAGTGGATAAAAGAAGGTAGCCTACATGTACATCTTACGATCGAAATATTGTCATACATGCTTCGGAAAAAGCGAAATAGAGCATTCAGACGGATTCAAAGCGCTCTGCGTTTGATATTCATCAGCACGTCACATCCACAGAAAAAAACACGCAGAGAAGTGTACGTTATACAAATGGATAGCTTTAAAAATTTAGAAGATAGTTTATTTCAATAAACACTGTAGCTACCAATGACTCTACTTCAATAAATATTAGAATAAAAGGTGATCAAAAAATTGTGTTTTGAGTACAGTTAAAACTCAGAGGAATGGAATTAAGAACTCAACAAACTCCAACTTTGCTCTGTCACAAAAGGACATGCTTAGAAACATACAAACCCCGACTTTGTGTTTGAATCATAGTTTTTGTAGAGGTAGAAGAGAGAAGAGTGGCTATAAAACATTAATATTGCTTGCTGTAAATAGTTTCTTGTCTCCACACAAATTTTAAAAATGACAGCAAGTGTGTAGTGTAGAGTGCACAGGAGTCCGGTTGCTGTTGCACGCCATGGTTGCTGTTGCACGCCATGCGGCTGAGCTGCTACACTGCTCTCAAGCTTGAAGGACAAGGGTGGTCAGTGGCTTTGCGGTACTCTGGCTTGAGTTCGGACTTAACTGTGACACGAGTCTCAGCCAACAAAGCATGGAGTGCCTTGTATATAATTATATTCTGAGGCTGAGGCATCTGTGCGCAGAAATAGTCGAAGACCAGGTCGAAATTTCGGTTTTGACGCTTCTGACTGCTGGAAAACCCATTCCCAGCCGACTGCAAGTGCCTCACCACTACCAGCATGTAGTATAGGCTGGTCTGGTGCCTTGCAATAATCAGCATAGGACAGTATGATCAGGGGACTTTCCCTCCAACCCCAAAGCCCGGCCACATCTCACATGCGCTCACTCACACGTCGACGGATGGGAAGCGGCAATCTGATTTCGAGACGCACTGCCCTGCTCGCAGCTGCCAACGCCACTGACTGACATCATTGTTGTGTCTTGTCTTGTCATGCACTGTCTCAACACCATCCGGCGTCCCACGTACCGTTACGTAGCGCTGGGTTGCATTTAGGGTCTACTCGGCTGTAGTGGATGCTCATCGGGTCCACATAATCTGTCATGTACTCGTCTACTCTTCTGTTCAGCGCTGCAGCCACTCCTGGCAGCTCGGCATACAGGTTGCTCATCTCCAGGGGATCAGCTATTGGCGGAACAACCACAAGATACGGACAGGTTAGTGCCCTGATCAAGGTATTCCCCCCCCCCCCCCCGCATAGCAGGTTAGTGCCCTGATCAAGGTATACCCCCCCCCCCCTCCCCCGCATAGCAGGTTAGTGCCCTGATCAAGGTATACCCCCTCCCCCGCATAGCAGGTTAGTGCCCTGATCAAGGTATACCCCCCTCCCCGCATAGCAGGTTAGTGCCCTGATCAAGGTATGCCCCCCCCCCCTCCCCGTATAGCAGGTTAGTACCCTAATCAAGGTATGCCCCCCCTCCCCGCATAGCAGGTTAGTGCCCTGATCAAGGTATGCCCCCCTCCCCGTATAGCAGGTTAGTACCCCGGCTGATCAAGGTATGCCCCCCCCCCTCCCCGTATAGCAGGTAAGTGCCCTGATCAAGGTATGCCCCCCCCCCCCCCGTATAGCAGGTTAGTACCCTAATCAAGGTATGCCCCCTCCCACACGTAGCATTACTACAGTGTGGCAATGTTAGCACACAGTACAGGCTCGGCGGAACCGGTCCGGTTTGTCAGGCCATGGCCGGACCAACGTTATGGACACCAACATGTGTTTACTGCTGAGGAGGTCATGTATACCCTCAATATCATACACAAACTGTATGAAAGGCTAGGGTATGGCGGGACCAATCAAAAGCTGCTTCCGCCGGTTCTGCAGTAGCCAAAATTATACATGTATGTTCTCTACAGTAGAATTATAGTCCTCTGTCCATGCAGCGGACAGGTGGTTCTTGACCAGGGAGTTGCACGACTCCTTGTTCTTGACCTGCCCGGTACGCGAACCCGTCGATTTTTTTGTCCATCCAGTGCTCAATACAGTGCTCAAAACAGTACTCAATACCACACAGGGCACAGCGCTTCCTCACAAATAGGGCAGAAGAGGTCGCTACCACTAATTCACAGGCATGTCAATGTTTCGTATTCCATTGCACTCCACGCACTAGCGCACGCTTGTCCCCTGCACGGCCATGCCAACGTCATATGCACACTGCGTACAGCATGGCAGCCAGTTCTGCCGAGCGTACACAGTATACATGCGCCGTTTGTCTACTCGGGGTAGATTTTTATACATCTGCACGCGCCAAAGAAGTCACTAATGAATGGCGTGTAATCGAATGCAGCCACTACTTCGACGTACTTACCGTCAAGATCAAAAAGCCAGGGACCGGTCTCAACCTTATGCGTGATGTTTTCATAGAAATGGAGCTCACGATAGAACGTCGCAAATGTGGCTTCATCAACTGCTGCCGGGTACCAGAGATTCATTTGCGTATGTTCTGATGGAGGGAGAGAGAGAGAGGGAAAAGTGGGCTATTGAAGTGGCCGAAAATTAGCCACAGCATACAGATGGTCCTTCTCATACAAGGACTTTTTAAACGAGTACAATGAAACCTCTTTAGCAGGAGCACCAATGGACCGATGGCATTTGTTCGCAGTAACGGCAGTTCTTCTTTTCCATATGTTCCACCTTAGTGCTTCTCCTGTGCTCTGGATGGCAGTCGTGAGTCAGTCAAGTGAGAATTCAAGTCGGCAGGAAAACCGCGAGCTACCATGTAGGGAGCAACACACAATTCCCCAAGTATCGCCGAAGTCGCACCAACCTCTTCTTCACAGTGCATCGAAGTCGCATTCTTGTATACCATCGGCTGGCAAAGGGTTATTAACTGCGTGATTTGCTCCGGCCGGCGAAGCCTACCAGTGTAAATCAGTGTTCAGAAACTGTCGGCGGTGTGGCTCTGAGGATTTTGGGCGCCTAGCAGACGAACTTAGCCAACTGGTGGGATGGGTATACCCCCAAATGCCCGCTCCTATGCATGAAGAACTGGTCCGAGAGCAGAACAGTGAACACGGCATTTCCCCGAATATAAGTGGCACCTTTTCACAATAAAATTCAAGGGTCAGAAAGAGGGCGCAATTTACAATCGAGCATGAATTACTACTGAAGCAAATATATCAAAACAATATTCCCCAAACCTGAAAATGGGGGTGCGACTTACAATCGAGTGCGACTTATAACCGGGGAAATATGGTATCCCGTCAACCATAATACGCTCCCCAAACTCTGTATCAAACTGTGCGTTGTTGGTGTGAACGGATCAAGGCGAGCCAGAGAATGAAGTTAGGGTGGTTGATTTTTGTTGGGTGACCACCTGGCTGGTGTGGTTGTGTCATGAGCAATATAATTATATTGACAAGCAACATAGCTCGCAGGGATGCGACATTTGTTACTGTGGTCCGGATGCGTGTGCAAGTACAGGGGATCAATTCTAGGGTGACACCGCACATACTTGCTTGGTGTTTAGGAGGATGTTTGCCTCTGATGAACTTGTACTTGCCCTCTCTGCCCGGCAGTAGGTTTGTGTTGCAGGAGGTTTGTGTAGCACAGGACAACACATTGACACAGAACAACACACAGAACAACACACCGACACAGCACAACACAGCAGCACAGCAAACCACAGCAACACAGCACAGCAACACATGACAACATGACGACGCAACACGCCGACACAGCGCAACAGAGAAGGCCATGTTAGATCACAAACACACCAGCGTCGAGAGACAGACTAGTAAATCGTTCATGTCACAAGCGTGCCACACCGCCCCTGCTTCCTCTGCTCACCATCTACATTAAATCCTGCAAAGGAAGTTACTGCAGTCCCTACACTGCAAACTGTCACATTCAAAACTATGATCAAAACCGAAGTTCACTAGTATTGACATGCGCCTCATTTTTCTGACAAGTACCTCGGCGACAATATGCTGGCTTGCTGCAATATCCAAGCATGCAAATACCAATAGAGAAATACTGGACGTGAGGGAACCGGATAATCAAACACACATACTGTATGTATGCATGACATACGCTGTAAACCGATGACCAACGATTTTCTTCCGGATGGCGAGGGATCCGGATAAAAGAGGACCGGATAAGCGAGGTCTGACTGTACCAAGCTTTCCTCTTGTCTCTCTCTGGTTGTGTGTTTTCACAATATCATGTTGCATTGCATAATACCGATAGAGGTGAGCACAGGCAGCTTGGGTATAAGCAACACATCTTCAGGTATTATTCTCTCCAGTTCTCATTTGTCAGCTGATACCAGCCCTTATATGCAATACAGCTAAACTCTAAAAACACGAATGCTAGCGAATGCTAGCGAATCTTTTAACTAGTTACGTTGGCACTCACCGGATGGCGAACACGCGCCTGGTCCTGTCGAGCCGGTACGGGAAGCCAGTGCGCGGCGATGGCAAGTTGTTCTGCAATGCCGACCATTGGTCAATGCCGTCTACCTCCGAATCTACGCAAAGCACCACAGCACAACAGCACCACAGCACCATAGCATACCAGCATCACGGTACCACCAAAGCACCCAGCACCACCAAAGTATAACACCGCCATAGCACGACGTCACCACAGCACCATAGCACGACGTCACCACAGCATCATAGCACCACAGCTTCGAAATTCGATTTCGCCGGACTTGGGCTCAAATCCGAGTTTAAATGCGATCATCTTGGTCTATCACCTGCCTCCGTGGCTGCAGGGCGTCATATTTGCGGAAGAGACCTTACCTATCATTTCTCGACCGACGTCGCCTTTTATCAATGTAACCGTCTTCATTATCCATGTGTTGGCCTATTCCGTGTTCAATATTGGCATGTTCTGCGGATTTTTAGGCATGCTTGGCAATTTCAATAATATCCTGCAATATTATTTCTTAGGTGCATGGCTACTACTTCATGTACTTCAATACGTACATGACTTAATAATAGCCGTCTGGCATGGTACAATAACTTTCTTTTTCATAATTATGGCTTTTACGTCAAATGTTCCTTTACAATCTGTATCACAATGTGTGAGTTTGTCATGCACTCAGAAGACAGGTGCATGTATACGATTCATATTATCATTCGGGGTTTTTTGGACTTACTTCTCGATTGCATCTTGCCGTGTGAGGTTTAAAATACATGTATTTCAGTGGCAATTTCAGTTGCAATTTCAGTTGCAATTTCAGTGGCAATTTCAGTGGCAATTTCAGTTGCAATTTCAGTGGCAATTTCAGTTGCAATTTCAGTGGCAATTTCAGTGGCAATTTCCGTGGCAATTTCAGTGGCAATTTCATGGCTGTTGACTAGTACACAACATTACACTTACCGCCAAGATGGCCGCCAGCAGCGGAGACAAGAGTCGGGTACCAGTCCGTCACGTGCATTATCCTGCAGGCAGCAGAATACACAGGTGCATGTACAGCAACGAATCCCAATTGGGAACGTCTCCAGACCAGGCGTGCCCGTGCCTGCCAACTGTGCCCACAGCGTACGGGCTTGGGCTCTGTGTACTTCAACTGCTGGGTCAAAAGAAAGGCGAGTCGTTATATCACTACTCTTGTTTTTTTGCACAAACAAGTAGGTCTGTATAACTGTGTGGGTGAGTGCAAGCTCTTCTTCCTCCACACGACTCTGGGTCTCTCCGTATGGAGCAAAACCGGCACCGTACTGGCACGATGAGAGAACATTTTGCAAAAAACCATCTCAGCAACGTGCCATGGTACGATCAGTCAATCATATCTGCCGCTTGGACGTCACAGCACGGTAATGGTGTTACCCGTGTTTCTGCTTCACATAGGGCACTGGGGAGGAAGGGACCAGGGCATAAGAAAATACTTGGTGAAACAGGAGTGATTTGGATAGGGGAAGGGGGGGGGGGGGTGTCCGGAGGCAGTGGGTTTGGGGGTTCGGGAAGAGGAAAGGGCGTGGGTCCATGGGACCAGTGGTCCAGGGGTCCAGTGGATCCAGGAATAGGGGAGGGCAGTGGGTCCATGGGACCAGTGGTCCGAGGGTCTAGTGGGTGGGTCCAGGAAGAGGGGAGGGTGTGGGTCCATGGGCTGGAACACATTTACCGTATCCGGGTATGAACGAAAGAATAAATTGGGATGGCGAGAAGTTATCAATTGCATGTTCGTGCATAACTTTGGCTGGAACAATAGCGGCAAGTGCTGCCTTAAATGCCTTCATCTTTTATTGAGAGTTCAGCCATACGGTTAGATGACAAGGCAGAATGCCTGTGTATCGTGTGAAGTTAAAACAAAACAAAAAAACAAACAAATTAATGTCCGCCAGAAAATGTTCGTCCCTCCTACCCATTGTGGGTGCGTTTGGTTTTTCCGAGCATCTTGCCATGGACGAACCCTGGACTGCGGGTGCCACCTTCCCACACCGTTCCCTTGTTTCCGCGTAGAGGGTAGTTGCTGCCGCCGTAGCGCACCTGCGCTCCGTTCTGCACACCGGCAGAAGACAGCACAGCAGAGGCAGGCGCACAGGCACGGCTGAGAGCAGACAATACCATGCTAGGTATGCTTTTGTGACCAGTGGCAACGTTTTAAACCACATGTATTCGCCACACACACAGTACCACAGAGGAACACGGTCAGTTTATTGCCACTCAGAGAGATTCATGCCCATATCTGCGCAACCATCAGGTAATATAATCATTTCCCAAGATTTGCACTTTTAAATGGATTTCGTCCACGACGTGAAGTGCATTAGAGGGGAAAAAGACGATCACACGATCTTACGTCGGAAGTGAAGACGACAAGCGTATCGTCCCAGATGCCGCGCTTCTTGAGCGCCTTTACAATGTTACCAACGGCATCGTCCATTGCAGTTGCCATGGCTAATCGCAAGCATGCATACGGACACACGCACACACGCACACACTCACTCACCCACACCACACACATGCAAAAACGCACATATGCATACACGCACGTGTGCGCGCACACAGACACACACACAGATACAAGCACACTATAATGATAGTTTTACGAATTCCCTTCATGCTAAGCCAATTCTAAGTAAATAATCTTTTAAATGCCCCTGACTTTATCCATTTCGTACTAGGCAGCTGCCTGACAGTCCGGTGCGGCAGGATCTGCGTAGTGAGCAGCTCTGTTTTTAGCTTTCACATTCTTTTAGTGCTAGTGTTTTGTTCCAAGCGGTTGTCACGTCGGTTGAGCAACACGCGCTGTCCCACGCAGGTGGTGACATGCCTTCTTAGCATGGCACCAGGTGGTGATGATCCAATGCCGGAACCCGGTAAGGTAAGTTTCCACGGTAACTAAGCTGTCATGCACTGGGCGATTATCAGACAGTTTGCAGTTAGAGCGAAAGCGGCCGACCGTCTCCTGGGTTTTTGTATCCAGCTCTGCATGCTAGTGCATCGAGCACTCTTTCCAGCTGCCCTGACTGGTGCTGATCGGGGTCGTAGCTCTCACATCTGTGGTATGGAGACCATGTACTGGGGCACATCTATGGTGTGGTGACCATGCACTGGAGCACACCTGTGGTGTGATGACTATGTACCACCGACAACCTCATACCACTTGCAGTAGTCGGCATTTTGCTTCTTTTGACTATGTTGTTTTCGTACCTATGACAGCCATTTACAGGTGTGGCGACCGGACTATGCTGAGTATACATGAGCTACTAGTACTTCCTCCGCGTCATCGAAATTGTCGCAGTTTGACTAGTGACTTGTCACTTGTTACTGACAACTCCATAAACTAAGCCATTCAAAACTTATTACACAGTATGATAGTCTGAAGACTAGAGTAACGTTCCAGGACAATTGGACCGAGAGTTTTCATGCAGAGATGAAGTCCTCGTCGTCGCTGATGTCAATGGACGCAAAAATATCGTTCCGAAATATTTCAAGGAAGGTTGAAAGTTGGTCGCGCCTCATCTCAAACGCTTTTACTTTCTCAACAGGACAAGAGCTGCTATGCTTGTCGTCTGCTAGCTCTGGATGATTTCTACTTGACCACCAACGAAGCCTAGTAAGAATACACGATCGTTGCGAGGTCGGTTGATTACCGTCGGCGGAATCACCTCGATCTTGAAATGAACTTTTTTTAGCCATGGCATGCCCACAGCTCATGCAGGTAAGTGTACTATCACGTCCAGTGCGCCCTCTTTTTCAGCATCACTGGTATACCATGGTACGGCACCTGCACGTGCATCACTAGCACTACGTGTAGAGTAGTACACTTGGGAAAAAAGAGAGTCTACACGGCTCTTGGCGTCTTGCAGTTACAATCATGACTGTACTAGTAGTACTGAGTGAGTGTCTCAGCCAGAGCGACACATTTTATCGCTGTTGCAGGCATTTAGTTTGCCGACCCCTCGATGTTCCTCCAAGCGCTGCCACTTGTTCCACGAAGTCATTCTCACCCCAGCTAAGGTAAAACAGTGATGGGGCTTGAGTGAATGGCCATAAGCACGAGAAATGTGCAGGATGCAACGCCTGACTGATCTCAGCGAGTCGAAATTACCATCGCAGCGACATCAGCGAAGAAATTGCGTCTAGTTCAAAAATTCCAGCTTCCAATAACAGAAAATAGAACTTTGCCGTCACCCTATACTGTTGACTATCGCCTATGTCCGATTCCTTGCCTCTGGTACCAATGCTGGTGAGTAAATACCGCGTTTTATATCAAAAGTCAAACTGCGACAATTTCGATGACGCGGAGGAAGTACGCGCCTGCGGATTGTGTGTACGCGATAGATACGCCAGCAGCTCTATTCACCAGTTGACCTACCTGAGACAGCTCGGCGGTTGTACCAGGCCACGTCCTTGAACATTTTCCAGTAGCGCTGCGGCGCCTGCAAGACAATACCACGAAATCAGCGCACGTCACCGAAGAGTGCTGCAGCAAGAGGGAAGACCTTTGCATGTGCATTGCCTTGTGCTCAACAGTTCAGCTAAACCTCCTGTGCCATTCCCTGAAATTGGATGAACCCCCTCCCAATGGTGTTTCGGATTTTGCACCAAATTCCGCAGGGTAAGCCATGCCCCCCCCCCCCTTCAGGTAGAACCAAGAGTAGATAAACAAGAGTGTGCAACTCGCGGATGGGTTGGCCCACGGCGGAATTTTTTGTTGACGTAATCTTTTCGACGACGCACGCGCTGCGCTCCTTTTGGAGAGGTTTCCCTCGTGCACTTGGCCGGGCTGTACACTACAAGGTCGGTGCCCAGCACGTGCTCTCACACTGCTCTGCGGCAAAGTCCGCGTTTCTCTGAAAAAAGGTGACGTCAACAAAAAATTCTGCAGTGGGCGGGGGTATCTGCAGATTGTGCAGGAGAGATCCGGAGTTGCACACTCTTGTTTATCTACTCTTGGTAGAACTATTTTAATTCTGGTAGCAGAGGAAAGACCCCCTTGTGAGGGTCCTTTCTGCACAACTATTCTAATTCTGGTGAAAGAGGGTAGACCCCCCCCCCCCCCCTTTGTCGGGGCCTTCTGTGTGCGACTATTCTATTTCTAGTAACAGGGAAGACCACTCTCCCCCCCCCCCCCCTGTTGCGTGCCCTTTGTTGAATGTTTACAATTGGCTACCGGGCCTGGACAATTATTCTTGTAACCGCAACTGCATCACAAAGACGATCACTCTTACGGCAAGGCGTCACCTTGCTTAAAACCAACATGTGACTCCACGTCAACAGTCACTTCGGCATACCGCTGTCTGTCTAGGCTTGCTACATTGTTATGGCACAGGGCAATCTTTACCACAGGAACACTTAAAAAACACCAAGCCAAGCTCACAACAGTTCAGTACAAGGCGGACACAGACTCCACGTTGCTTTCAGCGGCGATCAGTGCTAGTAGATGCCGTATGTTCACACTGGCGTTTTAACCCTTTAGCATCTGACCTAAATTCCAACGCCGTTCTGTGACAAGAGGTCGAAACGTATGATCTCAGCAATACTTCATTTTAGCTCTTTGGCACCTGTTGCAATGAAAAGCTGAGCTCTTTGGTTTCTTTCTGGATACTTTGTTTACAGAATTCCGTAAAGAACTGACCGACTTACGAATGTTTGAGTCCATGCAACTGCATTGTCCACTAGTAATCGATTCAAGTACACACAAATGTTGATGGGTTAATACACGTGCAGTAGAATGCAACAAACCATCTACGGTAAAAGCCATATATATAACGAAGTGCTAATTCTAACGAGTTAACGAGGAGAAATCTGTCGTTAAAATAGAAATCGTTATACAGAAATCGACACATATACTGTCCTATTGAGCGTTGAGAATGAGTGAGAATCGTTACCTTTGGTACACGTAAACTAGTCAATTTTGGGAAATCGTTATAATATATGCGCCTCGTTAGAATAATGGCTTTTACAGTATCCGCTGCGGCGTCTCAAAACTAAGTAGGTGAGGCTGACCTGCAATGGAGCATGTATTGCCTGGAACGCGAGATAAATGTAGAGAGGAGTAGACGTATTGTGCTTTTTCACGATGCTAATCGTTTCCTTGGCAAACGCTTCCTGTCAGCACAGAGCACATGCGTATGCACACACACATACATACATACACACACACGTGCACATGCACCCGTACACACAATCACATGTACACACATACACACAAACACAGTCAGTGTAAGATTGGTTGCAGACAGTCATATTGCAAGACAACACTTAGACACCATACACATCATAGGCACTGTAGACCCTGTAAACTCCGTAGACCCTGTAAACTCCGCAGACACTGTAGACTCCGTAGACCCTGCAAACCCCGCAGACCCTGTAAACCCCGCAGACCCTGTAAACCCCGCAGACCCTGTAAACCCCGCAGACCCTGCAAACCCCGCAGACCCTGTAAACCCCGGAGACCCTGCAAACCCCGCAGACCCTGTAAACCCCGCAGACCCTGTTAACCCCGCAGACCCTGTAAACCCCGCAGACCCTGTAAACCCGCAGACCCTGTAAACCCGTAGACCCTGTAAACCCCGTAGACCATGTAGGCACTGTAGACCCTGTACACACCATAAGCCATGAAGACCCCGTAGACCCCCACAGACGCTGTAGACCTCGTACACCCTGTAGACTCCGGAAACCCAATAGATTTGGTACACAATGTAGATCCATTAACCCTTTATGTACCAGCCATCTAATGTATGTAAGGGGCTATCGCAGCGAAAGAAGCAACCATGGTATGAAATCTAGACGACTTTTGTATATGCAAGTTGTGTTTTCCTGACTCCATATGTATCACTGCACCCAGGTAGGCATGGATATTGGTACAGCATGCAGTAGTATATGAAGGCCATAGGTGGAATACCAAAGATACGCGCCAATTGTGCATATTTCTGACCAACCAGGGTATCACAAACAAATAGACTGAGAATTAGTTTGTGCTCATGTACTGGGAACATAGGGACAAAACAACCTCATAAGCGTTGTCTCAGTGCATGAAGAGCAACAACATACCAGGGATATGGTCATAGTGTCAAACATTTGAGGTAAAACAATTGGTTCAAAAATTGCAAATTTTGAATTCTTGTGTCAGATTCGAAATCTATATTTTTCTTCATCTACTCACATCCAGCGTAAGGTAAGTGAAAGAGAAGACAAGAAGCAGTCGCTGGCTGGTGAATTACGCCTGCCTTGACGATATTAGGCCATCGCTGCCCTCCCTCTCGCTCCTGTTTTGAGAGCGAATACTGCGATGGGATCAGCGTTACAAATTTTCAATTTCGAGTCGCATTCCGCGATGATATCGCCACAGCCGATCTCTCCAATCGTCCACCACATCTAGAAGACGTCGACATGACCTAGAACAAGCTACATCTTCGCTACAAGCAGAGAAACTGAGCGAGAACACGATCGAAACGGCGACAATTGTTTCCGCTGAAAAGCATACTTTTGAACGCGTTCGTTCTCCATACTTTCAAATGGCAGCCTACCCATATCATACATCAAAGTTTTCAGTGGGATCTCAGCTGTCGAGCGCAAAAAACCGCGGCTCGATCGGAGCTACGGCGGCGGGGAACGGCGCGCTTGATTGGAGTGCAGCGAACCGAACCATAATTATGGTACGGTTCGAGATG